CCCACCCCCCAGCAGGTGAGCCAGGAGCACCACCTACCCCGGCGTTTCTGGAGCCAGTTGCCCTTTTACTCTCCTGTGTGGGGACAGTACCCCATCTCCTCCGGTTACAGCTTATCCCCAGGGTCCATTTCAGGAGACTCAAAACGTAAGCATGTGTCCAGCCAACGAACGGAGAATCCATCCAAAGAAACCGCTGTGTCTGGCTGAGAAACGCTCACCTGCCGGCTCCCCAGCTCTGGCTGTGGGCTGTCGGACAGAATGGGGGTCACAGGTTCCTCCCGCGAGGGGCCCGGGCTCCGGCTCAGACCTGAGGGGATGGGAGGAACCTTGGGGAGAAGACAAAGCTTTAGTCCGTGGGAGGTTCCCGCCTGGGCTTTCAACGGTCACATTCCAGGCGGAGCAGCCTGTTGCTGAAGAGGCGGAGGAAGGGCCAGGCCGGGGGCTGAGGGGCAGCAGGGGCGACCGGCAAAGGACACTGTGTGAGCAGAGCGCACGTGTGGTCCCCTGAGCCCACCGGCGCCCCGGGTGGGTCTGGGCAGCCGGTGGGGCTGGTTCGGCCTGTGCTTTGTGGGTGTTCAATGGGCTGGGCCTCGCTCTGAGGAACAAGATTGACAGCATCACCATCACCATCATCACCATCAGCATCACCCCAGTAGGAGTGCAGGCAGCGGCGGCTCAACATGGCTGAAAGCCGGGCTGGGCCAGCTACACACCTGGCGCCCCCCAGCGCCCCCCAGGCCTAGGGTTTGCCCCGGCCGCAGGGGGGGTCTGCTTTAGAACTGGCCCCGGGAGGAGACAGGCTCTGGGCAGAGAGCTGTTAAATCTGACAGATTGTGGAAAAGGCCTTGAGCCACTTCCCCCGGAGAAAGTTTCAGGACAGGACGTTTGCTCTGAAAGAGGGCGGGTCTGTGTCTCCGGGGGCCTGGGGCCGGGGCGACTGGTGGTGACAGAATGAGGAACGACCGTGGTCGTGGAGCCCGCTCTGGGGAAGAAGGCACAGGAGGTGAGGCAGCAGCAGGGAATCGCCTTCACCTTGGGAAGAGCTTGTGTTCATTGGAGCTGCACAGAGACGGGTCGGGGGGCGGCCTTGGGGGCCGTGAGCTCCCCGTCCAGGGGGGTAGCACGCAGATTCTGGGGGAGCGCTTGGCGGGGAGGCAGCAGAGCACCAGGCAGGTGAGTGCAGATTGTTCCCAAGCTCCTCACAACCTGATCTCTGTTACTCCACTGAACCCGGGGCGGTGCGGCCTGAGCCGCTGTGGCTGCTGCGATGCTTCACCAGAAACCGGTGGCTTTAAGCACAGGCTATTCTCCCACCGTCCTGGAGGCCGGGTGTCCGCCATGGGCTAAAATCAAGGTGGGCCCGGCCGGTGTGCTTGTTCGGCTGAGCATCGGCCTATGAACCAGGAGGTCACGGCTCGATTCCTGGTCAGGGCACATGCCCGGTTGCAGGCTGGATTCCTAGTGTGGGGTGTGCAGAAGGCAGCCAATCAGTGATTCTCTCTCATCACGGATGCTTCTCCCCCTCTCTCCCTCTCCCTTCCTCTATCTGAAACCAATAAAAATATATTTTAAAAATAAAATAAAGTCGAGGTGGGGCAGGGCTGGTTCCTTCTGAAGCTCCAGGCAAAATTCTTTTCCTCGTCTTGTCCAGCTCCCAGAGGCACCTGCATCCTGTGGCTTGTGGCCTCTTCCTCCAGCAGCAAAGCCCCTTCCGAATTCACCCCCTCACCCACGCCGCCCCCACACACACTTC